GCTTCTGTCTAATCACGTATTTTATTGAATAGTCGGTCATTAAATCGATCACCTGTATAGGAGTTACAACATGTTGCTTGTGATTTACACTTTTCATTGCATTTGTCCAAATCCTCTTTTGTCAGTTCATCCATTCTTCTCGTTTTTTGCTTTTCTGTACCAAGCAAGTCCGTTTCTGTTTTTTGTTGATACTTCATTTCACGCTTTGAAGGAAATTGTCTACACAGTGTTCTGATATCGATACAGCCTTGTGCTTCCATTATATCCTTCAGTATCATTGAATGTACCGATCCCTGAGTTTTTCGCAGTTCGTGTTTCATTCAGGTGTTTTAGAGTTGTGCTAGTGTATTTAGTTTTACACTAACTGTCGTAATTAACAGATCGCGGTACATCTGCTCCTAGGTCTGTTGATGTTCATAAGATTACCTCTTAAGCCGCTTTTGAGCAGAATATAGTCGATGTGGTTGTGTGTTCTTCCATTGGCTGGATTTCAGGAAGTTCTTTTCCAGGGATTGTGCAGATGAAGGGTAGTGGCAACATAACAGTTACAGATCAACAAATTTTATGAATTGCTCGCCTTCTCTATTCGTTGCTCATTTAACGCAAACTTTCTTACTGTTCTATTCCAGTCCAAACCATGTCATTTATTACTTTAACCTTTCACTCTCCTTGAATTATGAAGATATTTTTTACATCAGTTGGCTGCAATTTCGAATTTGTCTTCATCACTGTACTTCATTTTAGTGCTTAGTTGTCACTTCTGTGAACTTGGCTACTAAACCAAGAGTGTAATAAGTTATCTTGGGTCAGAATTTGGGTTTCACCGCAGGAGATATTTTTTCCAACTTTTGGGAACCAGAAACGTTATGTTCCGGCAGTGGTACTCTGTTTATTCTACATACCACATTTTGAGCCAATCTATAATGGACACATCGCCAGATCTCGGTCATCGTACTTCACTACTGACGAATTTGCAGTGCGCAGTACATTCAGCTTATTGCGTTTTATTTTGTGCGCCATCTGTTCAAGCTTACCAACTGCATACAGTAACTTGATATTTCATATTCCAGTAGTAATTTGGACATTGATACTTCATTTCCGCTTTGGCTACTCAGCAGCCTAGACTTTAAGTAGCGTGGCCATTGGAATCCCGATTTGCGTTCGATCCTGTATGATTAATTTTTTATTCAACTTTAGAGGGCAATAGAATTGCAACGCTGTCCATCTCTTCACCTGGTCGTCATTCTTTTGCAGATCATGTTTTTTTGTAAAGTGTTTAATATTCCATTTCATGCACGATTGGACGCCATGTAGTCGATATATGGTATAGTGGCAAAACGGTTTGCTGTTGTACAGGGTGAGCGAATTACGTGTACCGGGAGTAGAACGATTAACCTTGTTCGTTTTTTCCTACTTGTAGTTCGCCGGAAGTTATCATCTGCCCGTAACCCTCTTTTCTTTAACCTGGTATTGATACTGTCTATGACGTAGCCAGGCTTCGAGAAAAGTCTTACAGACTAGCGTTATCATATTTTAATAATCCTTTATGACTGGCTTATCAACAGTTAGTGTCATCCCTCTCGTCAGTAGACTGGTAGCCAAAAATATCTAAGCATTTTCCAGACATGGTTAAAGAACCCAATTTATATTAACTGTTTAATAAATTCTGTCAAATTTTGTTGTTTGTAACGGTCGATAAAACAGATTAAAACACTATAACTGTTACGTTTGCAGTGTTACCACTGTATTGTGACATTTTAATCAATGTTTGATTTTCAGCGATGCAGTATTTGTTTTCTGACGGTTCTTTGATCTTGTAGCCAATACATTAGTGTAAGATTAAATATTCATGAATGTAATTGTTTTAATTTTGCACATCGCTTAAGTTTTAGTGTTGTTTTGTAGACGGAAGCGACGGAATTTCAGTAAGCAGGCGACGGAAATTTTGAACGAATATTTCTATTCGCATCTAAGCAACCCGTATCCGAGCGAAGAGGCGAAAGAGGAGCTGGCACGAAAATGCGGCATCACCGTGTCGCAGGTATCCAACTGGTTCGGCAATAAGAGAATTCGTTACAAAAAAAACATCGCCAAGGCGCAGGAGGAGGCGAATATGTATGCCGCGAAGAAAGCCGCTCAAGGCATCGGTGCTTCTTTTGATAGTTACTTGATTTTTACTTTTCTTATAACTCCATTTTCTTGTAGCTCAGTACGGCATGATGCCTTCGCCCGGTGTCCCCGGCTCGATGGTCAGCCCGTCTGGTGAGATGTATTCTATGGCTGTTAGTGCTCAGCAACAGGTACGTCTGCTGTTGTTTGAACGTGTGAAAACTTTTCATTGTAGGGTTTACATCACATGGCTGCTGTTCAGGCTAATGCTTTTTCTGATCTTGCATCCGCCTATAATCCAAACATGGTACGTACTTCAATCCATGCCTTTGTCTGAAGTATGGTCTCTAATTATTTAGATGGTTTCAGTGACCGGCGCAGGTTATCCATCCAATCCTGACGCTTCCAGGACCGACTGATGCGTATTTTAAATTTTCATTGTTGTTCTGCTTACTATGCAGCTCCTTTTAAAATGTTTTACACTGTTTCGATTTGTCAGTTCCTATTCTTTGCGCATTCTTTAATGTTGTACATAGTGACTTTAGTTTGTCAGGATGCGGTGTGCAGAAGTTTTATTCTTGTACTGTTTTGACCTATACATACGCCATATTTGTTTTGTATTTTTCAGGTTCTGAAACTAGCCAACTGTTATTTTTGTTTCAACAGCTTCGGTACAAGAGTGTATGTCTTATAGAAATTATAACTGTGAAAAATGTACTCAAGGGTGTTTCTTTTAGCGTGCTACTGTAGACTACTTTAATGATGACGCTTCTGGTTTCAGCTTGCATTCATTTCTGTTACTCATCTATCTATTCATTGTTTGACAGTAGCAGAGTATAAGAGAAATATCAGGCGGTGGTTCAGTAATCTGTTAGATACATCGTGAGCGTAATCACCTTGATTTAAGTGATAAATAGCTAATCCTTAGTGAGAATTTATTCATTCTACTTCTCTTGGGTATGTAAAAGTAATGGGATACAAGTGCAATCCCAGTTGAACAAAATTTCGCCGTTTCCATAGTACTGATAGTTGTCTTATCATTTCGTCGAGCTAATTTACGAAACGTAAATAAGAGCTGCAGTTAGGATTAGGTCGGCTAATCACGTTCCTTCCAGTCTTAGTGTCTTCAGTGAAAGAATGAAATTTTCCCCTTTTTAAATCAGCCAGAGTGAGTCAGCGATATGGAAGGTAGAGAGTAGGATTTCTCTTACCAATACTTTAAGCATAAACGCTTTTTCTTTAGGAAGACTGTATCTGTACCTGGGTTGGTACTTATTGTTTTTTAAAGCGATTTTTAGTTTCTCCTATTTCTCGTCAAGGTTTTTCAGCCAGACGGAAACGTTTGCATTGCAAGCGTGAGATCAGTGCTACGCATAGGCCACTTTTAT